TCTCTCTCTTTTAATCTACTGTTTTTTCACTTTGTTCTGTTTAGGGGAAAGAATTGGGTGATGCTTATCGAAGTGGGACCAATGAAGGTCTAGAGAAGCAAGGCTGCCATCCCTTTTATGCATCTGTCCTCTCTAGCCCGTTCATCTCAGAGGTAAGGACAGTGGGCCCAAGCACATTGATGTGACTGCCATGCTGTTGTGGCCGCGTGAGGATACGCGAGAACTACATTTCCCTGATGGTGCGCTGCTTCGGCTTCGCTCTTCATCATCCGTTGGTTTTATGTGATTTCTTTTGTCTACATTACAACGTATTATGAGATTAAAGTCAAATTAAAAATTTACACAAAATCATACACTTTTAAGTGAGAAGTAATTCAGCCACCAGAAGGTATGAAATCTTCCAATTGTGTTTTCTGAGAATACCATCATAGAAAAGGCAGCCTGCTCACGGCTCCTCTTCTGTCTAGCCCGAGCTAGCCTACGGCGCCTGTCAGCACATCCCAGGAGAGAGCTTTGCAGAGGTGTTGCTGAGAACCGGGAAGCTGGCAGAGACGAAAACGGAAGGAGAGGAAGTGTTTCCAACCACAGAAGGTGCGAAAGGCTCGTCCCTTCCCGGGTGGCCCAGGTCGGGTGACCAACAGGAGAGTTGCAGCGAGCGTTAGGGAAGACGGCTGGCTTCTCACTAAGCTCGCATAGCTTATCTTGACACCATTGTTCGCTTATTTAAAACACTACCTCCTGTTCTCCAGACACATGCTAGTGTTGAGGATTTAAAGGGTGCACATGATGCAATTCCTATTTTAAGTGCTAGTTCCGTGGCGTGACCGGTGGTGAGCGGATGTGCTCCACAGGCCTCTCTTCCCCCGTTCCTGTGTGCTGGCTGATGCCCTAAGTGTTAGCTTTACAGCACAGAGATGAGCAGTTCACCTTAAGGGTTTTCTGCATACGACAGTCTTTCCATGTAGAGTTTTGAAAAGAATGAAATGAATTCAGGTTTACCGAAGACCCCTTTGCAGTCGCTCTTTTTCTCTTTGGCTTCCTTCGTTCTTCTCGAGGTCCCAGGGCAGTTTCCGTACTAGTTCTTTCTCTTCCCTCTCTCCTCTGCCATTCTCAGTGAATGCCTCGTGGTGCTGCAGCTCCAGCTGTCTTGCCTGAATTCCAGGCATGAGTTAGGAGGAGTATGGGAGGGACAGTTTGCATGGCAGTCCTGTTCACAGCTCCCACGTACAGACGCCTGGCTGTTCCTCGCTGCCAGTTCCCCTGGGCAGGGCTGGTGGGTGAGCACATTGCCGTGCAGAGTAGAAATTGGGAAAATGTATACGGGGAATAGAACTGCTATTTCCCCAGAAACCTGATACTGTAACTTATTTCTGAATAACTCTTTTTTTCAATCAATATTTTTATGCAGTTGGGAAAAGGGGAAGCAGACACCGCTCCCCTACCTGCTGTGTGGGCCCTTGACCAATGCTACACGTTTGCTGAGTGCACTGTTGTCCTTCAGTTCCGAGGCGTGTGTTTTTCTGCCATGCATCATTTCTGAAATCAGGGTATCTCACAGTTGAGCACATTTGTGGGGTTTTCCTCCTCAAAAAGCTGTTATGTGATTCATGGCACGGCTTAGAAATGATGCTGAATGTTACCTGAAGGGAGAGAGATGCATCACTGTCCCCCTTTTAATTTTCTTTATCATTTCTTGCTTTTCTTCAAATTTGTCTTTATTTTTTCCCAATCTCATGGACTTTTTCCTGAGATTTGTAAGTTATTGTAATTCCTGGAGAGAAGAGTACACATGGGAAGCCAGTGAAGAGATGGGGCTGGAGGAGCCTTGGGAGGGGTGCGGGGCCCTCGCGCCCAGTTAAACATTTTAAATGGATGCTCTGCAAAGAGTACGGGGTGTCCAGCAGGAGACTATTAATTAGTTTTTCTGGACTGCAGTTCCCTTATCTGTAAAATGAGCGTCACAGTGTGTATGTTCTGCCACCGGCCGTTGCTGCTGGTGATGGTGATGGGCCCTCTTGGACGTTTCCCTGGACAGTCCTGGCTTCTAACTTCCTTGCTATCGTCTTGAGCTTCATTCCCTCCAGTGATGTCTCCCCCTGGTCTTCAGGGCCTGCGGCTGCTGTTCCCCATCCTGGGCCCATGTTAGAGTCACTTAGGGGATCTTTAAGGAATACTGAAGCCTGAGGTCCATGGTAGACCATTTATTTCAGCACCCTGGTTAGGGCCATGCATCAAACGTGTGTTAGAGTTCCTCAGGCGATTCCGCTGTGAACCACGGCTGAGACCCTGCAGTCTCAGTATCGGGTTCTCCCCAGCCATCATGTGCCAGCCAATGTGTGCCAGCTGTCGTGTGCTTCTTCCAGCTCTGTCTGTCTCAGCAGGCAGCCTGTATCTTTTACATCACTGTCTGGTCTCGTCCACTTGGGGTCAAACCCTGAGTGCCACATCTATTTCTGTTTCTTATGCTTTCATGGGACTGTTGTAGCAGTTTATACGGGGTTCCTCTGTGGCAGATGCGAGATCAGTGTCTCTTGGCAGTGAGGGGAAGTACAGCGTGTGTGTATCAGTCACAGGGCAGGATGGGGCTGTGCCTGGTGAATCTGACCCCAGCTCCCCGGACCGCGCATCTCCTCAGTGTCTGTGCAACTTGAGCGACTGCAGGGTTTCCTTTCTTACCCAGAGTGTCTTCCCATTGCTTTTTCTGACAGTCACATTATATTCCACTGAAGGAAAAATTCCAAGTCCATTAAGGCATTAAACATTTTTTTCAAATGTTGAATGGATGGGAAAAGCATTTTACAGCACCTGCCATGTATTTTAAGAAAGGACTTTTTAAAAGGATAGAGGTGATTTTAAATCATCACCAGCCCTTTAATTTGCATTTGGCTCTATAGTTTATGAAGCATTTTCCTAAACATTTGGTATCAATAATGCTAATACGTCTCAAACAGATGTCTAACTATTTTATAGTACAAATATTTGTCAGAAACTCAGCAGAATTGAAGAGTTATATAGGATAAGTGACCCAGATTAAAAATCATAAAAATGCGATTCTCGACTTTGGTTCAGAAGTAGGTTATAATATAAATTACACCTCCCAACATGATCTGACTTTTCAGGATTTTTTAATAAAGTTGGTAAAAAGGTTTTTATGAAGACTAGCTGAAGAAAATTGATCATTACTTATTTAGCTAAATGAATGATTTAATGGCTCATGATTTCCAAATCAATAATATGGGCAGCTTTCCCCTGGAATTAAATTGACCAAGGACTGCCTTCCAGAGGCGCTCATTTTGCACAGGATTGGTGCACCGGGGCTCACACGAGCCTTCACCCGACGATGGCTGCGGAACTGTTTTAGAAAATGTATCATGTTCAGTCAAGGTCTGAGAACCAGCCCTGCAAATTAAATCATATGTGCTGATAGATGTAGGGAGGGCCTTTTAAAAAATATCTTAATGGTAATGTGATATCACCATGATTCTGTCTGCAGTAGGCATGACATCTGGGGTCCCAGTGAGACCCTGGGGGGTCAGTCTACTTCATATCCTACTGGTAACTCTGCCCAGTGTTGCTTCCAATATCTTGGGGATTCAAAGACAGAGCTTCCTGTACTCGGGGTTGGAGTTCTGCTTCCCAAGACTCCTTGAGTCTCAGTGAGGGCTGCGAGAAAGCTCTGATGCCCAGGGGTGGAGTGGGGCCATGCCCCTCACTCCCTGTTGGCTCCTGTAACTGTCCAGCTATTAGTTAGAGGGGCTCTGGGCTGGGCACTTGGTTGTGGCAATGAAGGGGCTGTGATCCAGTTGGGGGAGAAGATGTCCCCACGTAACTGTGTTAGGGATGAGGCAGGAGACAGGCCCCTCTCCTCCCAACCTGGGACATACGGGTGGTGGTGTGCTCGGCACTGGGGATTCTTCCAGTCGTAGAGCAGCAGGAAGCCATGGGCTCTGTGTGGCCAGAAAATCAACTGTCTGAGTGCTGGGGACAGATGTGTACAACTGGTCCAGAGACTCTTCCAGGAAAACCTGTTTGGAAAATAAGTAACTGACAGGGAACTTGAGCATTTGACCTAGTTACCAGACAGGATTTTTTTTCCTCTCCCCCCCCCCAGTATTTTATTAA